GCAAGGCCACCAAAGTGACAGCAGGACCTCAACTGGCTGTCCTTGAACAGAAAACACCTTAAAAATTCACTTCCTCAACGTTTATCCCCCAAGGAAGCTGCCTGACCCCTGAATTGAGAAGCAGGAGTTCGTGAGAAGTTGATAATCCCTGAGACAAGGCCAAGGAATGGAGACTCCATGAACCCCTCACTGTCCTGTTCCCCACAGATTTATTTTGGTGAACCCCAAGGAATGGAGACTCCATGAACCCCTCACTGTCCCCCACAGATTTATTTTGGTGAAACCCAAGGATTTGTCTCCATGAACCCCTCACTGTCCCGTTCCCCACAGATTTATTTTGGTGAACCCCAAGGAATGGTCTCCATGAACCCCTCACTGTCCCCCACAGATTTATTTTGGTGAAACCCAAGGAATGGTCTCCATGAACCCCTCACTGTCCTGTTCCCCACAGATTTATTTTGCTAAATTCCCACCAAAAAAAAAAAAAAAAAAAAAAAGCATTTAAACTCTCCAAACCACACCTCTCCCCTCAGGTTATTCCTGCTGGTGCTCTGAAGGGTCACAGGCAAACAAAGACCTGAGCTTTCCAGCCAAAAAAAAGTCCAGTTTTTATGTTATTATTTATTCTCCTGAAAAGTGAAACCTCTGGTTTCCAGCAGGGAGCTGGAGGCTGTGACCCAGCAGGTATTTCCTCTGCCCCAAGTGCAGCTATTGCCAGAACTGCACCCAAACAGCAATCCAGCCCCTTTGGGGGAATCTCAGGAACATTCATTAGTGCAATTAAAGCCATTAGCTGGTTCTGAGGCCACATCCTGACTCAGCGAGGGACTGGGGTTTGTTGCACACGCCCTGAACTCCTCCAGTACCCAGAGCGATGTTTGGTGTTTAGCTGGGGCTCGATTCTGTCTCACAAAAACACGATACTCCCTGGGGCTTCTGAGGGAAGGCACCAGCCCTTATCAATCAGGAGAAGATGCTGCAGCTCAAATTCCCGTCGATAGAGAAGCCAGATTGAGAATGTAATTATCCTAATTAATTTTATATATCTGGAACTCATCTCCTTTTGCACAAACAGCAGCTTCCAAGCAGGCCACCGGCTTTTTTTTTATTTTTTTTTTTTTTTTTTTGCATGGAGCAGTGGTTTTATCTTGTTGAGGGGCATGTTGGCAACACAAGCTCGTGTTGTGCAGACAAGGACTCTTGAGGACTCAGGATCCTGCTGGCCCGTGGAAATCTTTGCCTTTGCTAACTCCCTCCCACCACTCCAGGCTGGCTCCTAAGGAGTTCAGGAACCTTCTCCGGATCATCAGGGCTTGATGCAATCAACTGTGAAGCATTAGCTCTAAATATACAACTGGGAGGCCAGTTCTGCTTCAACACACAAACACTCATGGCAGAGGATGAGCGAGCAGCCAGCCCAATTTGCAAGAGAAACTTTAACTAATAATCCAAGCAAGCTGCAAGGAAAGCAGGAGCGAGTGGGGGCTCATTGCTTTGCCCTTTGGAGATGGCGAAAGTTAGGGGCAAACTGGCAGGAGGCCACCCACAGCTTTTGTCCTTGGTGCAGCTAAATGCAGCAGCTCACTCTGCTTTATTTACTTGTTTAGGTGATTTTTTGGCAGCTCCAAGCGTGTCCCTGGTGCAAATCCTCTGTGCGTGGACAGATAATTGAAAAACAACTGCAGCAGGCCAAGAGACCCAGAATTCAACTTGTACAGGGAAAATAAACACTGAAAGAACTCAAGCTCACAAAGCAGAGCAACATCTCAGTCCACAGACTAAAGCAAACACATTTTACTCCTTGGATCTCCTCGTGTTTCAGCAACCAAGAAATTCTCAGAAGCATTTGGGGCAAGAGGGAATGCGCTGGTGTCGCGTTCTTTGTCAACAGCTGTAAAGGAGATGTGCATCCAACCACTCTTTGGTGGCGATGCCAGACCCTGCTTACCCAAAAAGGAACACCAAGCCCTTCCTAGGAATTTTTTGGAAGATGTTATTAAGCGTCTGACTTTGGCAGGGCTCTCAAAGCCGTTTGTCCCGGTTTTCTACTGCCTGTTGAAAAGAAAGCGATACTACAAATACCTCCCATCAGAAAATACCAACAAGCAACTTATCACCACTGCAAGAGAGCTAACAACATTTCCACATTTCCACCGAGTGGTTTTTGGCACTGACAGCTGACTCAGAACAGTTGTTGGTGGCTGGGACAGATGGACTTCATATATTAAAAAAAAAAAAAAAAAAAAAAAAAAGGAAATGAGAACCTCTACTCCATAGATTCTAAAAAGCCTTTTGCGAAATCCAACCTATTACCAAGCCCTCGGAATTAAATCAAAAGGAGATTTGAATATAATGAGCTTTAAGACTGAAATGTGCCTGGGACTTGCCCATATCTCCCCATCAAGCACTACAAGGTATCAGCATGTTCTATTTTCAACAGGAAATACTTGAGAGTTTTGGGAGGGTCTCCACACCTCTGCCCTCAGCCCTGCATGTGAAATGCTCTAAAATCCAAATATTTGTTTCCACGGGGAAGCTGGCAAGGAGAGACCTGGAGGCAGAAGTGATGTCAGGCGTGAGCCCCGCTCTCCATCAGCGCTGCCGAGAGCTTCCGCTGCTTTAATCATGACCATGGCATTTCCCTGATGTGCAGAATCTTCAGTGCCCAGTGCTGGCAACGCACTGAACGCTCCATGCTTCACTGCCCCCCCTTCCATGGCAATGTTTTAAGGCCACCATCAAGAACAGGGGTTGTTCTGGCAGTAACACACAGCAGGAGACAAGCCCAGCTAGAGCAGGTCAGACTTGGGATCCCACATCTTGGGAGCTTTGTCTCCTTTTCACGCCTTTTTTTTTTTTTCTCCCCCAAGTAATCAGTTGGCACAAACACATCCTCCCAGTCACACTCCCATCCCACTATCCAGCACCAGCCCTGCAGGCTTCAGTACATGTTGAATTTTATGTACTGCTGAAAGCATAACCCTATTTTATGGGGTGCCCCCAGTACCTCAAGTCAGGCATGGTGGAAGAAACCTTTTAATTCTCAACCTCACTCTGCCCAATCTGTTGGGCTTATGACCCCAAATTCAAACATGACTGGAAATCAACACAGGATGAGGCACTTTGACTTTGAATTTAATGGAAAGCAAAGCCTTGTTCCACTGGGTTCACTCACCAGGTAAATGTTCTCAGGCAGATGTGTGAAACCAGTGGGGTTTGGCTGCTTTTAACAACTATTCCTTTTCTGAAGAAATGCAGAAATATCATGGGGTTTGTTTCCATTCCTCCTATCTTTTAGGCCAGATTCAACAGGACACTTGGGCTCTGGTCACATAACCCAGGAAGGAAATAGAGCACCCTTCTACCCTGAAGCCCCACCGCCAGGGAAATTTGTGTTAAATCCGTGGGTTTTCCCATTCAGAGGGAGCAGCTGAATCCAGAGTTAGCACCGGGCAGACCGTGTGATGCTCTGGGATCAGGCACTCCTGATTTCTCCTGCTGAAGCTGTTTCTGCTCCAAACCACAGCAAAGCAAGTGAACAGCAGAGCCTGGAGCGCGTGACAACCCTCTGCTTGTTGGGGATGAGTGTCAGAGTCATCTTCACACCCCTCCGCTGACTGATGGGGTGAATAATGCCCAAATCTTGCTTTATTTGAGACCCAAAGCACTCTGCGAGTTCTCTGGAGGACTGTTTTTTGTCCTTAGATAAACTGAAGTATTTCCATTCACTTCCTTGAATGTTGACCCAAAACAGTGACTGGTGAGTGTGTACACACTCAGCCCCGAGTATTTTGGTACTCAGCTGTAGGCTGGTTGTCAGCCTAACCCCACTCCACCCCATCTTCTCCTCCTGCCATCTGGGCAGAGGGGGGAGGACAACGTGAGCCCACCGGCTGCTGTCCCCCTCCTCATCCCCCCAGCTATTAATAGCCAGACAACAAATGAGCCCAAATTCATTCCTGAGCGGAATTAGCAAATGTTTTTGCAATTAAAACTGCAAACATTCATGCGGGGCCCCCCGAACAATAGGCGCCTGTGCCTGGTCTTGAATAGGCACTAGTGTCCGTCCTGCCTGCCTGCCGAGCCTGCACATTCCTGGCACCCTCAGCCCTGGACCCGCTCCTTGCTGAGCTGGGTTTTGGGATGTTTTCCCCTGTCCTGAGCGGGTGTGTGTGTCCCACGCTCCCTGCAGCATCCGGCGGGTCCTGGCTGCCGGACCCGTGTGCTGCCCGGGGCTCCCACGGTGTCCCCGCATCCCCCCACGGTGTCCCCGCATCCCCCCGCGCTCGGGCCAGAGCATCCCTGCCGGGGCAGGGGCAGCGGAATCCCTGCCCTTCCCCGGGATGGTGACTGGGAACAGCGCATCTCCCCCTTTCCCTGGGATCCCAAATGGGCAGCGCATCCCTCCTGCTTCACTCACTCCAGGATGGGGACGGGGGCAGCGCATCCCTCCTCCCTCCCTGCCCCGGAATCCCGAGCGGCCAGCGCATCTCCCCCTTTCCCTGGGATCCCGAGCGGCCAGCGCATCCCTCCTCTCACTCCAGGATGGGGACGGGGGCAGCTCATCCCTGCCCCGGGGATCCCGAGCGGCCAGCGCATCTCCCCCTTTCACTGGGATCGCAACCGGGGCGGAGCATCCCTCCTCCTTCTCTCTCTCCGGGATCGGGACAGGGACACCGCATCCCTCCCTGACTCCGGGACGGGGACACCGCATCCCTCCTCCCTCTCTGACTGCGGGACCGGGACGGGGACACCGCATTCCTCCCTGACTCCGGGACAGGGACACCGCATCCCTCCTCCCTCCCTGACTGCGGGATCGGGACAGGGACACCGCATCCCTCCCTGACTCCGGAACGGGGACGGGGTCAGCGCATGGCGGTGCGGTGCGGGGCGGTGCGGGGCGGTGCGGGGCGGTGTGGGGCGGTGCGGTGCGGTGCGGTGCGGGGCGGTGCGGTGCGGGGCGGTGCGGGGCGGTGCGGGCGCTGCCGGCCGGTACTCACCGAGCAGGGGCAGGAGCAGGAGCCGGAGCAGCTCCGGCCGCCGCAGCGCCATGATGGGGTGTGCGGGGCCGGCCGAGCCTGCGCACTGCCCGGGCGGCGCCGGCCGGGGGCGGGGGTGCCGCCAGCCCGGGCCCGGCTCCGGGGGGCACCGGGGGGCGGGCCCGGCACGGCACGGCACGGCACGGCACGGCACGGGACGGCACGGCACGGGAGGGGAGGGGGCGCGCACCGCACCCCCGGGCAGGGCGCGCCCCGGGACCGCCGCGTGGAAAAGGGGATGGTCCCGGTACTGGGACCCCCGTGGATGGGGAGAGGGGATGATCCCACCAGTGGGACCCCCATGAATGGGGAGAGGGGGTGGTCCCGGCAGTGGGACCCCCGTGAATGGGGAGAGGGGATGGTCCTAGCAGGGGGAACCCCGTGAATGAAGAGGGGATGGTCCCGCCACTGGGATGCTCGTGGGTGGAGAGAAGGGATAGTCCCGGCAGTGGGACCCCCGTGAATGGGGAGAGGGGATGATCCCGGCACTGGGATGCTCGTGAATGGGGAGAGGGGATGGTCTCGGCAGGGGGACCCCCGTGAATGGGGAGAGGGGATGGTCCCGGCAGTGGGACCCCCGTGGATGGGGAGAGGGGATGGTCCTAGCAGGGGGACCCCCGTGAATGAAGAGGGGATGGTCCCGCCAGTGGGACCCCCGTGAATGGGGAGATGGGATGGTCCTGCCAGTGGGACCCCCGTGAATGGGGAGAGGGGATGGTCCCATCAGTGGGACCCCTGTGAATTGGGAGAGGAGATGGTCCTAGCAGGGGGACCCCCGTGGATGGAGAGAGGGGATGGTCCCGCCAGTGGGACCCCCGTGAATGGGGAGAGGGGATGGTCCCGGCAGTGGGACCCCCGTGAATGGGGAGAGGGGTTGGTCCTAGCAGGGGGACCCCCGTGAATGGAGAGGGGATGGTCCCGCCAGTGGGACCCCCGTGAATGGAGAGGGGATGGTCCCGGCAGTGGGACCCCCGTGAATGGAGAGAGGGGATGGTCCCGCCAGTGGGACCCCCGTGGATGGAGAGAGGGGATGGTCCCACCAGTGGGACCCCCGTGGATGGAGAGAGGGGATGGTCCCACCAGTGGGACCCCCGTGAATGGAGAGAGGGGATGGTCCATGCAGTGGGACCCCCACGGGTGGGGAGAGGGATGCTCCCACCCCTGGTGCTGAGAGGGGCTGGTCCCAACCGCTGGTTAAGCTCTGTGGAGAGAAGGAATCTCACCCCGAGTAAAGCACCAGGAGAACTTTAATGTTTTTGAGCCAGGATATTAGCAACACTGTGGTTACAAAACCCATCCAAGTTTTGCTCCAAAGTGTTTCCCCCTTGTATTTAACAAGGTCCCCTAAAAAGAGATTTCGCTGAGAATTTGCCCTAAAAAGCCAACTCTCATTGGTCTGTGAACTTCACTATAAACTTTCAACAGCTTAAAGTAAGCAAGAAACATAAACAAGCATCTGGGCAGAGGATGCTGCTCTTGAGGAGCTGGCTGAGCTATAGAATCACAGACTGGTTTGGGTTGGGAGGGATCTTAAAAATCATTTCGTTCCAACCCCCATGGGCAGGGACACCTTCCCCCAGCCCTCGTGCTGGACCAAATCCTTTCTGACACAGCCCAATGTTTGATTTAGTGATTTTGCCCTGAAAAATGGCTTTGCACAGAGAGCATCCCGAGCTGCTGTGTGGTCCTCAAAAGTGCCCCAGGATCTTTTTCTTTGATTAACAGAAAGCAACAGAAATGATCAGCGTGGGACAGTGGCCCCGAATAGAGTTCTGTGTCCATGCTGGCTCTTGCGTCACTGCCAGCAGAGTCTGATGAGGATGTAATTAAGAAGCTGTTGAAGATCAAGCAGCTGGAAAGAAAGCCAGAGCTCTGCTCTGCTCTGTAAACCAGCTCGGCAGAGCTGGCCGAAGTTAAGGGATGTAAAAATGTATTTAACCTGATAACGAAGCAGATCTAACTCGAGATGCTAATGAGTAGATTTAAAGGGCTGATCTGAGCCTGGTGAAATTAATACAGGGAGGCTCATCAATTCTGATGGCCAGATGGGACATTTCCCTGAGGATGAAGGGGAGGGAGTTGCCTAATAGGGCTGTATGGCTTAAAACCTGACTCTGGCAGTCTTTGGGCTGGGTCCCTGTCGAGTAAGGAATCATTTTAACACAGTCCGTTTGGGCTGCTCTGACAGGAGAAGTAAAATGTGATGACAGCGAATATAATCAGCGATAAAGTGCAATCACTGAAGTGTCAGGATCCTCTTTAGCTTCCAGCAGCAGCTTGATCAGGGCAGAGAGGAGACGAGACAGAAGAGACAAAGAAGGATGGGAGGTCTCTAGCTGCACTGCAGGAAAAAAAAAAGAAAATTATTTCAGTTTGGATGGTGCTTGGAGCAGCCTGGTCTGGTGGAAGGTGTCCCTGCCTGTGGCAGGGGGTGGAACTGGATGACTTTTGAGGTCCCTTCCTACCCAAACTCTTCTGTGCTGCTCTGACTGGGGATGAGCCATGCTGGACAGCCACAGGAGGACTGTGCTGAGGTGTGTTGGCTCTCCCAGGCCCATCTGGGCCACTCGAGGGGGAGCTGGATCTGCTGTGAGGAGCTCTCCTAAGCCCTGATTCCCCTCTCCAGGCTGCTGGAGCTCAGCCCTGAGAGTGTTTGTGAATAATCAATGCAGGCAGAGGGCGGGTGTGGAGTCAGCTGGCAAAGCAGATATCACCTTCATGGATAACACCAGGGCATGAAACCTCAGGATCATCTCAGATATCCTCCTGCTCCAGAGGCATGTGCCAATTGCTCGTCTCAGGCTGATCCAAGCGGTGCCAGCTCCTCTCTTTGTGCTCCCCTCGTGGTCTCACTGCAGCCAGGTCTTGCCTTTCCAGCTGCCATCGCCTCCGAGGAGCCCTTTGAAAGGAGAAACTCAACAAGCTCAAGGAGTCCCAATAAATATTATACAGGAATTGTAGCACCCATCAGCCTGGGATGGCAAAGCACTGCTGTGGAAAACATTGATTATCACACACAGATGGAGCTGCCTTTTCCTTATTTAATGTTCAAACAAGTAACTAGAATAAAATTCATGCTGAGGGCAGCCTGTGTGGCACAGGGATGTATTCAGGAATGAGGGACCTCTTCCTATGATTTCCTTATTCTCTGATGGGTTTTCCAATCCATGCTCCAAAGATCTGCAGGATGATAGGAAGGGAGCACAGGTCCTGCCAGGGAGCCTTCCCAAGCTCCAGGACAGCCCGTGTGGGGAGAACAAAATGTGGGATAAGGCAGTGGAGCCTCACTCGTAGTTCTTGTAAGAACAGAGGGAGGGTGACCAAGGACTAAAAAACACCTTAGGGATTTCTGAATGGGACGTGTGGTACACCAGGTGCTCGGGATCTGAAGGCGACTCAGAGAAAATGGATCCTTTTGATGCTTGCAGTGCCTGGAGGCCCAAACTGAGTTTCAAGCCCTGCTGGGAAGAAGCTGCTCCAACCTGTAAGAACAGGCTGTGCCTGTCACGATGGCTTTTCAGCAGCAGTGCACATGGCAGGCAGGAATGGGATTATGCCAGGCACTGGGGCTCCAGGGCTGTGCCAACGAGCTGTGCCATGCCTGGTGTGTGCCTGGCTGAGCCCTCAGGGCTGTCCATCTGCACCTTCCCCGGCAGCAGCTCCGCTCCAGACTCTCTAACCTTGAGCAGCAGCACTGGGGGAAATTTGTTCTGTTAAAGAGAAAACTTTGCACAAAAAACAAAGGTTCTAGGCCACTGTGTTTTCTCAGGGGGAAAATACTCCCTGTGATTTTGTTGGATGGTCACAGGTGATGTGTGTAGCTGGTGACAGAATGGCCACCAGAGAGGAAAAGTCTCCCTGGAGCTGCACTGGGGTGAGCAGGAGCTGCATCCAAGCCTTGGCTGAACAAAAATAAAATTTAAACTTTTGGGGAAGGTAGTTAATGATGTATGCAAGTTAAAAATTGTTAATACAAGTAACAAAATTGTGATTATGTATAAGTAACAGGTTGCATTTAGTATTGAACACTATAGAAAGTAAGGTAAGAAATATGGGAATAGTTAAATTAACAGCCAAGTGTGGTTGTACATGTGCGAGGGGAGGTGGAACCAGGGAGGAGATGGGGTGGCAATCTTCATAAAATGACAGAGAAAGTTCCAGAATACATTACCTCATGAGGCACGGCCACAACTCGAGCCAAGATTGAAGGAGACCAGCCAATGAGCAGCAGGAATGGCAAAAGGATTGGTCCAGGATGTCCCAGGTTACAAGCCAAGAGACTAGAAAATGGACCTGTCATGGATGCTGGGTGCTCCAATCAGCTGATTAAAGAGATTTCAAAAGGCCTGGGTGTTTGACACCCATGTCTTTCCTCCAAGCTGGTTTCACTGGAAGCACCCCTAGGTTACAATTATTTATTTGCTAAGTTGTTGAAACAGTCTCCGGACTAGCCAGAGGTTTTGCTTCCAATTGTTTGTTCTGTAATAAACAGGCTTACTTTTTATTTAATTAACCAGCCTTCTTTTTGTTATTTTAAAGCTTTCTAAGTCTATCCACAGCAGGCCTGGTTCCCCTTGGTGGGACAGGACCTTTCTGTCTGGCTGGGTAGGGGGTTTGGAAGCCAAGTCCTGCCTCGTCCTGGAGGGTTTCTAGGGTCAGTTTAGGCTCTGCAGGTACCTGTTGGTGATCTCTGGAGCCATTTACCCCAGATCTTCCCAGCAGCTCTGGGGAGAGATGCAGCCTGTGCTGATGGCCTCTGTCCATCCCTTTTTCACACCCCTCCTGCTGCTCGGGCAGCTTTTTACGGATGGCTACAGTGCCTCTCACTCCTTAGCTGAAGACAGCATCTCTTTTTTCGTCTGCTGGAGTCTAGACAAGCTGTTGATTCCCTGGTGTCACAGACCGTGACCCCACTCCTACGCCAGTCCCATCATTTCCCCCTAGTTCATTGCTCAGGCATATGCTCATCTATTTTGAATCGTTTGTATGTGCAAGGCTGAGTGGCTCCTAATCTCGTCTCCCTCCCGGGGCGTC